CAGATTATGACTATAACCAGCGTTTTTCTTCTTTCCACTCTGATAGGTAGTTCCCCAGGAATCGTTTCCAGAACCAGTCCAGGTGGCCCTTTCGTGGAGGAAGAGGCCGTCCCTAACCGCAGGGGGAAGTGACTCGAACCCGAGTCATCCCATTGGCGGCCACCTTTCCCTCTATGCGGATCAATGGGACGAGATCACATCAGACGCTTGGGTCCGAGCCACAGTTCCTCACGGTCTCAGGTTAGAATTTCTCTCCACCCCTCCGAACCTCTTCAGGTTGTTCCCTCTGTCTCGGAGCCTGGAGCCTCGCCACCTGATGGATCAGGCGATCGCCCACCTTCTCGACATTCGGGCGGTGGAGACAGTTCCTCTAGAGGAATGGGGCCTGGGCCACTACTCCAATCTGTTCGGGGTTCCGAAGAGCACGGGGGGCTGGAGGGTGATTCTAGACCTCAAGCTCCCTCAAATCTATCCTTCAAGGCATACGGAAAGGGGACTTCCTGGCCTCCGTGGACCTCACGGAGGCCTATTTTCACATATCTATTCAGCCCGCTCACCACAGGTTCCTGAGGTTCTCGCACGGGACCCGCCATTACCAGTACAAGGCTCTTCCTTTCGGGCTGGCCTCAGCTCCCCGGACTTTCACAAAGGTTCTGGTGGCCCTGGCAGCTCACCTGTGTTCCATCCCAGTGCAGCTCCAATATTATTTGGACGATGTCTTGGTTCAGGCGAGGTCTCTTCCTCAGGCCGTCTCGGATCTTCGGCTCACCATTCGGAGCCTTCGGCTCACCATTCGGAGCCTGGGCTTTTCAGTGAACTTCGCCAAGAGCCATCTTTCCCCCTCCAAACGTATTCTCCACCTGGGGATGGTCATAGACTCCGTGTCGGGGGTGGTGCGGCTGTCCCAGGAATGTCAGAGCAGCCTTCGACAACTGGTGGAAAGCGTTCGCGGAAGGCAGTTAGCTTTGGTCCTCTCTCTGTCACAGTTATTGGGCAAGATGGTCTCTTGCATCGGAATTGTCCCGTGGGCCAGGCTTCACCTTCGGCCTCTCCAGTGGGAACTCATCCCCTTTCAGAGGGGGCAACTGAGCAATTCTCTTCGTACTCTCCGTCTCCCGGCGGGGGTCCGGGTCTCTCTGGCGTGGTGGCTTTCCCCGGCCATTATACGCCCCTCAAACAGGGTTCGCAATTTGGGAGTCCTCCTGGATTCACAGCTGACTTTAGAACATCATTTGTCGGCTGTGACCAGGGGGACATTTGCCCAGGTTCGCCTGGTGCACCAATTGCGACCCTACCTAGATCGGGAGGCCCTTCAGATAGTCACTCACGCCCTTGTGACCTCAAGACTGGATTACTGTAATGAACTCTACATGGGGCTGCCCTTGAAGAGTGTTCGAAGACTTCAGCTAGTCCAGAACGCAGCCGCGCGAGCGATTGTGGGTGCACCCAGGTACACCCACGTTACACCTATCCTCCGCGAGCTGCACTGGCTACCCATTAGTCTCCGGACCCGCTTCAAGGTGCTGGTCGTTACTTATAAAGCCCTACATGGCATTGGACCTGGGTACCTGAGAGACCGCTTCCTACCAATTACCTTTCATAGACCGATCCGATCTCACAGGTTAGGTCTTCTCCGGATTCCATCTGTCAGCCAATGTCGGCTGGCGACTCCCCGGGGGAGAGCCTTCTGTGTTGCAGCTCCAGCCTTTGGAACGATCTCCCTGTAGAGATCCGGACCCTTACTACCCTCCTGGCCTTCCGCAAAGCCACTAAGTCCTGGTTGCTCCACCAGGCTGGGGGGCTTTGAAATACCCAGCCCCATGGTAACTGTGAATGTTGTGTATTTTAAAGTGTTGTTTTGTCTATTTATCCCCTTCCCTTGTTTATTGTAACCCGCCCGGAGTCCTTCGGGAGTGGGCGGCATACATACAAGACCAATAAACAAGACCAATAAACATCAAACACCATTCAGCGGGGCTGTTGCTTCTGGGAGCCGGACAGGGTGACCGTCACCACGGACGCGAGTCTGTTTGGGTGAGGGGCCCTGGTGGATTCTCGGATGCTCAGGGCAGGTGGACGGCCTCAGATCTCTGCCACAACATAAATTGGCTGGAGCTGAAGGCGGCCCGCCTGGCTCTGCGTCATTTTCAGTCCTCGGTGGAGGGGTGTCACGTGCTCCTCCTGATGGACAATGTGGCCGCCAAAGCCCACATCAATTGTCAAGGGGGGGCCCACTCGCGGGCCCTCTGGCTGGAGGCTATGTGGCTGGGCTCCTGGGCGGAGAGGCACCTGTTGTCTTTGATGTCGGAACACATCTCCGGGCTCTCCAACGTCCAGGCAATCCGCTGAGTCGGGTGACTCTGGACAATGGCGAGTGGCAGCTCCACCCGTCGCTGTTTCGGAGGATCTGTCAGAGGTTTGGGACTCCTCTGGTGGATCTGTTCGCCTCGCCCGTGAACTCACAACTTCCTCGGTTTTTCACCCGTTTCCAGTCCAGGTCGGCGGAGGGCACGGACGCCCTCAGGAGCTGGTGGCCCACGGACCTTCTTTATGCATTCCCTCCCATTCCCCTCATCCCAGGGACCGTCAGGAAGGTGGTGGCAGAGAGGGCCCTGGTCATTGTGGTGGCCCCTTATTGGCCCAGGAGGCCCTGGTTCGCAGACCTGGTCCAGCTGTCGGTGGCCTCTCCGTGGAGGATTCCGTGGAGGGAGGTGGTCTTGCTGCAGGGGGTTCTGATTCACCCGGAGCCCCAGTGGCTCCATCTGACCGCCTGGCTCTTGAACAGCAGCTTCTAAGGGGAGCTAATCTGTCCTCCGGGGTCATTCGTACCATCGAGGTGTCTCAGCGTCCATCGACGACCTGCATTTACAATTCCACCTGAGTGGCCTTTGTCTGGTGGTGCTCTCTTCTGGGCATTTCTCCCGATAAGACCACTATTCCTAACGTCTTGGACTTCCTCCAGAAGGGCCTTGACAGCGGGCTTTTGCAGAATACATTGCAGCGCCAGGTGACAGCTTTGTCTTCGATCTTGGGGGGGGAGTCTTCATCCCTCTCCCATGTCCCCCTGATCAAGCATTTTCTGAAGGGGGCGGCTAGTCTCAGGCCTCCCCCCATCCACAGGTTCCCCACATGGGATCTTCCCTTGGTGCTCAGGGCTTTGACAGGGGCCCCATTCGAACCACTCCGGTCTGTTCATCTACGGTTCTTGTCACTGAAGGTGGCTTTCCTGGTGGCGGTTACCTCTGCCCGACGTATTTCAGAACTGGGCGCCCTGTCTTCCAGGGACGACCTTTGCCATTTTCACCAGGACAGGGTGATGCTTCGCCTTGATCCTACCTTCATCCCAAAGGTGAATACTCCCTTTCATAGGGCTCAGGAGATTGTCCTGCCCGACTTTTGCCTGGGCCCGTCCAATGATAGGGAGAGGCTCTGGCATTGGTTGGACGTCCGCCGCACTCTGCGGATCTACCTCCAGCGGACCGAGGGGGTCCATAGGTCGGAGGCCTTGTTTGTTTCGTTCCAGCCGGGAACATTGGGTTCTAGGGTGTCCTCGGCCACTATCGGCCGTTGGCTGCGTCAGGCCATTGCGGAGGCTTACGGGGCTTCTGGACGGCTGGTCCCGTCGGGCATCATGGCCCATTCTACTAGAAGTGCCGCGACCACAGCGGCGTGGGCCACGAGGGCCTCGTTTGAGGACATTTGTCGTGCGGGCACTTGGGCTTCTCCGACGCCTTTCATCTGACATTATCGTCTGGATGCCTTCGTGTCCGTGGACGCATCCTTTGGTCGGAGGGTCTTGTAGAGGGTGGCAGCTGATGCTCCCCTTGGGTCCTAGTGGTTTTCTAATAAGAGCCGAGGTGGCGCAGTGGTTAAATGCAGCACTGCAGGCTACTTCAGCTGACTGCAGTTCTGCAGTTCGGCTGTTCAAATCTCACCGGCTCAGGGTTGACTCAGCCTTCCATCCTTCCGAGGTGGGTGAAATGAGGACCCGGATTGTTGTTGGGGGCAATATGCTGACTCTGTAAACCACTTAGAGAGGGCTGAAAGCCCTATGAAGCGGTATATAAGTCTAACTGCTATTGCTATTGCTATTGTTCTCCCTCCCTGGGACTATAGCTTGGGTATGTGACCACTCCCTCTCTTCCTCTGGAAAAAGAATGTTGGTCTTACCTGAACATGTCTTTTAAGGGGTGGGGGTGGTCACGACCCGCCCTGGGGGTTGTTCCGTTGGAGCCAAGGGGAGGGCCCGGGTGGTCCCGGGGGCGTTGTTGTTTTTGTTGTTTCAGTTCTACCGTTCGACTTTGAGGAAACTGGGCCAGGATTGGAAGGCACCAGTATTTAAGTCTTTGCTCTCAGTCTTTGGACCAATCAGGCTTTGAGAATACCCACAGGTGACCACTCCCTCCCTTCCTCTTAAAAGACATGTTCAGGTAAGACCAACGTTCTTTTGCAGCTCAGGAATACATTCACTGAGGCAGATGCACTCAGGGATAAGCATGCTTTGCCTATTATTTCAATTCATGTGGATGAGACTGTTATTTTTAAAATTCAGAAGATAATATATAAATTATGTACCAAATGGGGAACAGCAGCATAAGTGAATCAGTCAGTACCCTCTTTAACTTTGCTTGCCAGAAGATGGATGGGAAGTTTCAAATGACAATCATGAGACACTAAGATGCTTCAACCATTATAAATATGTACCAATTGCCAAGTGTCTAAATTTTGAACATGACCATGAGGATGCAGCAATAGAAGTAAGAGTGAGAACCAATTGTAAGTCACTGTTTTCAGTGCCATTGCAAATTTGACTGGTTGGTAAACAATGGTTATAGCAATATAAAAGCTACTTCTTGTTTTATTGTCTAAAATCAAATCCATTGGCAATTTAAATAAGTAATGAGATAATGATGAATAATAAATATCACTATGTGGGGTTTTTTTTGTAAAAAATACAAACTAATTGATACTTTTCATATTTTTTCACATTTTAAAATCAGTTTTGTGTGAATGAATTTGGAGCTCTAGAAGTAATCACTGATGTAACAGAGATGGAAAGTGTTAAGAAGGCTACAGCTACCACAACTTGGATGGTGCCAACTGTCCAAGAAGGTCAGTGCAGTTATTTTAACTTTGTTTCTTGGCATCACAATTTTATATGGATATCAGTGTGTCCAGCTGTCCTAAGCAAGGTTATAATTTCTGTTGTGCATACATTTGAAATAAGAAGAGAAGGCATCTGAGCAGAATTGTTCTACTCTAAAATCTGTTTCAAAGAATGAATCACAATGTTAGCGTAATTTCCCATTTTTAATCAGTTTGGGGTAGCAAGTAATGGGAGAGGAAGGAGGAAGTGAAGATCAAGACCAGAGATACGCATTTGGCATAATCCAAGCATTCTTCCTTAAAAAAACCATGCTGTTCTACCTTCCCTGCTATAGCCACAAGGGAAAGAAAGGACTAGACCTGTTTGTCTGCCAGATGGAGCCCCAATCCTGATCAAATGTTTGCTCTCATGGTCCGGAGACAATAGTCAGGTGAAATGCAGTTAAAACATTCACACAAACATTGGTGCTAAATTAACAGGATTTATATTAAAAATAAAATGTTACTGTTAATGGATTTTACTTAGAAGAAGGTTGCAGCTTCTGCTTTCTTGTAATGTGCAACACCATCTCTTAGCTCACAGAATCATATTTTGTCTCTTGAAATAGTTAAGCCATAATCCGAAGACTGAACTAAAAATAAAAGTGGCACCAGATAAAAGAATCAGAGAAGGCAGTTCCATAGATTATTTAAAGTGTTTGTGGTTCCTATATATTTGTCTGTGGTGAAGCTAAAACACAATCTTCTTTTTATGCCCATGGAAAACTAATAAGAACCAATTAAGAACTAGGTGATAGGATTCTGAATATTTCAGAAAAGAGCTGCTGAATTACATTGTGTTCTGGGCTGAACAGTTTCTAGCCTCAGGGATGTATAAGGCTGTGTGGGAAGCCCTGGAAATTGTTTTGTAAGCCCCAAAGTGGCCTTAACCCAATTTAGGAAAAAAGACAAATTATTTCAACTACTGCAGCTCTGCTCACTCATTTTTCTGCTCACTATGGTTTCACCCTCCCCCAAAGTTTATATTTGATTCCCCAATAACTAGAATATTGCCCATTCCTGTTCTAAATGCTGGATGTATACAGACTTACGCTTCCAGGAAAAGGAGCCTATCTTTCATTTATGAAAGAGACCAGGTTCAGCAAAATCTTACAAATAGAGAAAGTCTAAAGGAGATTTAATTTGTGAATTCTCTTGTTGCCTTGCAACCTTCATGCTGCTCCACAGTCCTCCGGAGCATCTCTGCAGGAAAATGGCAAATTCATAAAAAAACACATGTCCTTATTTCTCTTGTGAGTTCCAGTGAGCAGAACTTTGCTCATCTGGGATCCAGTCCAATAGCTTTTATATATTGAAATCTGTTTGATAGAATATTTTTACAAAGTTCTTAAGCTTTCTTGATATAAGTAGTAATTTAAATGTAAGAACTTAAAAAGTATCTTGCTGGATTGGACTGTTGGTCAATCTAGGTAATTCATCCATCTGTCCTCGCAGTGGCCAACCAGTTACACAAGAAAGAATTATTCCATAAATTTGGCCAACCCTTTTTTGAAACCAGCTGGGTTGGTAGCCACCATTATATCTCATAGTTCCAAATTTTAATTATTTATGGTGTAAAAATACTTCATTTTGTATTGCTGGATTCTTCCAAGATTCATTTTCATTAACATCTGCGTCTAGTATTTTGGGGAGGGGAAACAGCTTCTCCTTATCTATATCATGTACAGTTTTGTACACCATATTTGTGTTCTCTTTTGTTGGCTTCCTTTCTAAAATAAGCACGCGCGCGCACACACACAGAGACACACACACACAGAGACACACACACACCAACTTGCAACATTTCCTTGTAAGATGCAGTCCTTTCATCAACTTAGGTTCTTTCCTCTGAACTTTCTCTAGTTCCACTATATCCTTTTTAAGATGTGGTAACCAAAACTACACACTATATTCTAGATGTGGCTGCAACATTGATTTATATAAGATCTTTATTTATTTATTAATCTGTTTCTTTATATATTAATGTTTTATGCCACCCATCTCCACTATAAAGTGACTCCGGGTGGTTTACAGATTATGAAACAGAATAACAATTACAATATATTAAACTATTAAAACTGTTAGGAATATAATCTAATGGTTGGGTTGGCAATATATAAATCAATGTTGCAGCCACATCTAGAATATAGTGTGTAGTTTTGGTTACCACATCTTAAAAAGGATATAGTGGAACTAGAGAAAGTTCAGAGGAAAGAACCTAAGTTGATGAAAGGACTGCATCTTACAAGGAAATGTTGCAAGTTGGTTGGTGTGGGTGTGTGTGTATGTGTGCGCGCGCGCGTGCTTATTTTAGAAAGGAAGCCAACAAAAGAGAACACAAATATGGTATACAAAACTGTACATGATATGGATAAG